CTGACTCTTATGCTTAATTTAAGATTCCGAGGGTTGTGCAGTGTTTATCCCACTGCTCAGTTCACATGAGACGCCTCAATTATCTGGAGAGAATTTAATGCCCTCAGCACCTGTTTTAGGTCTAGAACTACGAAGGGTTGAGTTATTGAGAATAATGGCTGTATTATACTTTTACTGTCAGTGACATGGTGTAAATATGCTATCAGAAACTGACTCTTATGCTTAATTTAACTGTTATAGCTTTTACAGTAAATTTGAAAGCATGTGTGACAATTTCATCTAGCCTGTAAACTGGCATGACTCTTGTGACGTAGTTATTTCAGAATAAATATATTATTATTATGTTATTTCGAAGGGTTAAACACAAGGCTAATGGAAGTTTGTGAGGCATTTCGGGACTTACATAGAGTCACGAATCAGTGACTATGGCCATCGGTTACTATAAGTGATACACTACTGCAAGGGTAGGGCGATCGCAGCCATTGAAGGTTGCGTCGTGATGGAAGTTTCTGCTGGTTATGAGAGGGCCAGGAAAATCCTTAACTATCGTTCGGTCAATGACATGATAGCCAGAGAAAAGACTGAAGAGTTGATTACAGTGACGAAATCCCACTGAAAACTCGCTAGGTAAAGAAATGTTAACAAGGAAAAGTAATTCAAACCATTCCTACTTTGGCATAGAAGTTAGAAGGTCTTCATCTAGAAGAGTTATGACATCTCATGATGAAAGCCGAGCTCCATCGGAAGTCACGAGACCGATGCCTTTTCTGGCACCAAGAGCCCTTCCACAGTGTAGGCAGCTGGGTGGTGACAACCGCCCTCATACCCGTAAAAGCATGCGAGACCAAATCGGTCATAATCAAATCCTTTGTACACCTAATAACTTTTATCTCTTTTAGAGTACACAGCTGCTGCAAATATTATTACTGTAGACAGCGAGTAGTGACACGCTAATTTTCAAGTTGAGTCTACCCTGTTTCAAGGGCCTGTGTCCACCTTCAAACAGGACGCATTTTTCAAAACAAGGTTTAAGACTTCGGAGGACTTTGAAATTTATTATTCAGATATATCAGTAACTGATTGGGGACTTCGAAGTTCTTCAAAGCAAACCTACCAATAATTCTTTTTTTTTATATATTGTTAATCTAAAAACTCCCCTCAACTTATTTTCTCCCTATTTTCAAACGTTTTGATACCAAACTGCATCTTAGTAGCTATTCTGGTAAGCTGAAAAGTCAAAGTTTCAGCACTAAAAGCAACTTACTAACGGAAAGGATTGTGTATCGACTAACCTTCAAAACAAAAAAATATATTTGCCAAATTTTACCTGGCAAATCAACTTTTCAAGATACTTGTGGTAGTACTTATCTTCTTTGTCAATGCTTTTCAGAAAAATTGTGACGAATTTCGTTGAGCTACGTCTATTTTCATCTGGCTGACAAAGGATAGGTGATTCTCTTAACTTTACAGCTTTGACATCATCACAAAAATTAGGCGACCTGGAAAATATTTTATGAAAGTTCATACAGCTTAGGGAGCGTTAGAATTTTTCCCGATGTATCTTTGAAAAACACTGTGATGTTTGCGTCGAGTGATCTAAAGTATGGACACTGAGAGGCATACTTTCGACTGACTGTTTGGGTTTTTCAACAACCCGTTCGCACGAGATTGGGATTTTCGACGCACTCTCAACCCCGGGATTTATGCCTCTAGAAGTTTTCCTGGCTGTTGCAGTGTCATGTGTACTGGCGAGTTTGGGAACATGCATCAGACATAGCTGATTCAAGAGGGAGATGATAATTCGTATGAGTTCGTGTTTGTCAAGCTTCTTTTTGAAGCTACCCACTGAATGACTCTTTTAACCTCCACCGGTAGAGCATTCTAAGTTGCCACAACTCCTAATAAGAAAAAGTAGGGACGTACCTGAGTGATCGCTCCTTGATATGCAATTTTTCGAGGATTACTTCGAGGGGCGTGGTGGTGATGTCTTGGCAATATGCTCATATCGGAATGATTCGGAGTGCTGAATACGTTGTACGCCATTACCAGATCACTTCTGATTCTCCTATTAGTCAGCAGGAATAGTCTCAGCCGTTTTAGTGTGCCTTCGTAAGGTTTGTTGTTTAGCACTGTCGCCCATTTAGTTGCTCGGCTCTGCACTCGGTCCAGGAGATGTATGCCTCTTTCAAGGAGAGAGGATGCGACGATATTGTGAACGTCAATGTGCAGCTGTGCGTTTGTTTTAAAGAGAGTTGGGAACAACTGCCTACTGACTGCACCCAGTTGTCTACGCATAAACTGAAGAGTTACGTTGGCCTTAGCTGCGTCCCCTATGCAGTTTGAAGTTCTATCCAGGGCCTGTGTGGTTATTAAGCTCATACCGCCTTCTGTGAAGACATTGGGGAGCACACTTCCATTGAGAGTATAAGTCATTTGTGTCCCGCTGGGCAGAATGTTCATGACGTGACATTTTGACTAGTTTAGTTTTAACCCGTTTTTCACTGCCCATTGGTGTAAGGTCCTTTCGAAGCTCAGTTGAAACCTCTTCGCTTCTTATGGACTTCCTGATCTTTGAATCGTCTGCGTAGATTAGTTCCGTTGAGCTAATATTACCTATCAAGTAGTTCAACAGCATCTATAGGCTTTTTAATTTATTGGTCTACTAGAAATCAAGTATGCTTTGGCAGGTATGAAGGCAACAATGCGAATCATGTAGTTATCATTTCGTGAAACCTATGTGGATAATAATGGGGCGCAATATGAGTACAGTGTGTTGATAGTTTCTAGGGTTAGTTTGAATATTAGATGGACCATAAAAATGTGCCCTAGGATTTGGTGTGAGTTCTAGAAATAGTTGATTAATCTCAGTGGGGTCTAACGAAAGAGTCACTAGTTTCGTGAACCTAGTGTCTGTGTCACAGATACGGATAGAAATTAGTAATCTGTTCCATAAGACACAGTATCGTGTTACAAAGAAGTTGTCACACGAAGACGTTTTGTGTCTTGCTGTTACTAGTGTCAATGCGTTGTTTCTAAGTCGGTGTTCATCATTTGTCAGAATTTCACAAATTGAATTCCATATATTATTTTAAGTTTCAGTATTTGCTTGTCTTTCGACCGACGGTGCCATGGAATTTTTGGGGAAATTCATCAGCATCTTTCTTTGCAGTCAAGTGAATGGTTCCATCCATGTAAAGCTTCACTGAACGTTTTCTACTCGTATCTTGTCTATGATATTCATGTTTGTAAAGGTAAGTGAGTAGTATTCAATAGACAGCCATAGACGCATTTTGAATTTTTTAGTCTTAGCCTCATTTGTCAAGAAGTTCTTATTTATGAGCCTCATTTGGCGTCTAGATTTAGAGATAATAGAGGATGCATGTTCTTTAAATTTTAGTCTTCCTGAGTAATGAATACCCAGATCACGCGCTGACATGAGTGTCAGAACCCTACAGTTTTGAACGTAGGGTGTTACTTCATGGTGATGCTTACTAAAATGCGTGATCCCATATTTGTTGAGGTTAACAGTTTGCCACCACAGTCGCTTCAGGTAGATAAGTTTTCATGGTCACTCTGAATCCTGGCTGTATTATCGTCCAGATCTACAGGCTTATAGCTTTATACTATTTTGAGATCATCCGCCTGTAAATATAGTCTTTCTAATTCTATAGTTTTACATATATCAGTTATGTACATATGAAACAAGAGTGGACCCAATGCACGTACCTCGATAACTCCACTGGTTATTGGTCTTGGTGATGAAAGGCAGTCGTTGTATTTAACCATTTGTCGGAGTCCATTTAAGAATGAAACAAAACACGAATATAGTGACTTACTGATTCCGAATGACTTTAGTTTAATGAGAAGCCTTTAGTGTGGGTCTTTATTAGAAGCTTCCTTAAAGTCGAAGAAAAAGACCGATACTAGAAGCTATTGTCTTATTTTTGCGTAATATCATTAAGATAGCGTGGCAAACATGTATCGCATGACCTGGACCTCAAGAACCCATGCTGTGAGGTCAATATCAAATTGATATTAAGCAGGTGTTGTATAAACGCTATCGTTACTACTTTCTCCATCGCCCTAGATACTACTGAGGTAAAGTTTATGGGTCAGTAATTTCCAATATTAGCTGTAGACCTTGGTATCATTGTGCAGATGATACATGTAGTCTTATAGTTATCAGGGTAACACACTGTAGAGAGTTATATGGTATATATTTTAAGAGTTATAATACAGATCATTGCCCCCATTTTCAGCGTCGTGGCCGGGTTACTATTCGGTCTTTCAATGCAAGTGTTTAAGTAAACTAATCGCCCTAAAATCATTTTGCACAGTGAAGTCTACACTGGTGATTTTATAGGAAGGTATTGAGATCAGCTGAGATTCATTTATTGCATATCCGTTTGTTAATGAAGTGAAAAACTGTTCGCTAAACAGCTCTGCTATACGTTTAGCATCTTCATACA